GTATATAGTTTTGTTATACGGATAAGAAGCTTGGACAGGAGAGAACACTCGGATCGCCGAGTACTCGACCTGGCCGAGGCGCGTGTCCGCCGCCGGACTATGCGGAAACACGGCCAGCGGCCGGCTAGAAAGCAGCAGGAGCAGCAACGGCAGCGTGGCCGCGTGGCCCTGGTGTTCGGGTCGCCTAGCGGCGACTGAGGCGCGCGGCACGGGATGCGAACGATCCCGCGGGAGCCGGCTGCCAAAAGGAAGAAGAAGAAGGGCGCCAGGATGGGCGGGAGACGAGGTGTGCTGCTGCTGCTGCCGGTCCGCGACGTAGGTGCGCACCGCGACGCCGACGACGTGACGGCCACGTGCCCCCACGGATGCCTCGATGCCCGCTGCCACTGAAACCCGTACACCCACGTACGCGCGCGCACGCGAGTTAAACGCTGCGAGAAGTGGAATACACGCGGGGCAAGCACCGCTGCGGAACCGAAAACGGGAGAGCGGCGAGAAGACCTAAGTGTACTGTGGCCCCGTTTCTAGTTTCTACAAACCGAGATTATATATACAGGCCAGTGTGTGATACGATAGTAGATGGAGTAGATATCAAAAGTGTACCGGTGTGATTCTTATAGAAAAAAAGTGAACGGTGACTTCGGGATCTCTTGGTGTTCGTTAAGGGTGCTCGTTGGTAGGGTAGATACGTCTTGGGATTCTGATCGACTAACAGGTGGCACGCGTGCAGGTTACACGGTACTTATTAGGAACCGATAGGATCGGCCAGGATCGAGGGATTCGAATTTGAAACTGATTCCCGCCAGTGGAAACAAGGAAGGCCGCGTGGGGATCTCTCGGCCATTCAGCCGGCGTGGACTGGAAGAGAGTCCGGTGATGCGGATGCACGGTGTCCACCGGTGAGACCTTACCGTACGCCGGGTGTATCGAGAAACTTGAAACGCCAGACACACGAGGTGCCGTCCCTTCCGTCCGTACCGAGGACACGTGGTTGCCCGTAGAGTCCGTGCCGACAAAGTGTACACCGTGAAGTGTGCAGTGATCCGTTTGACCACGGCGAACCGCTGCGCCACGGCGACCACATCGCGTCGTGATCGATGAGCTTCCACCACCTGGGGTCCGTAACGGAAACGTGACCTTAAGAGTGTACACCCTCGAGCTGCGGTTACAAGCTCCGTGAAAAACAGAGAGGCGTACACGTAATTACCAGTGATAACATACGGAAGATCGGTTGACAAGAGTCCAAGCACAGTTAGGAATCAGAGGAACCCTTGATCGAAGGAAGAGGAATCATCGAAGTACAAGGAAATCGTCGATCGCCGTCGAGGAGAGACCGATTCCCGCGCTCGTACTTCAAAAATCAAGCCGGCGAGTGTTCGAGGAGAGGGTGAAGGGCGTCGTGGAGGGGGGAGTGATGCCGGTGAGGGTGGCACAGCGCCCCCCAGGTGGAATACCACTCCACGCCGGCGTGCCGGTAGCGACCAGCAGCGTAACCGCCTCCGGTCCGTCGGGCCGGTGCCTCGGGGGCCCGGCAGCGCCCCCCGCCGGCTCGCCACCGCTGCCGCCGTCCTTGCAATCACTCGGCGGCGGTGTGAGCAACCCGAACAACGCAAACCCGGCCGCCTCCAGCAACGGGAACGCGAACGGGAACGCGGTGAACAACGGTCTGAACACCGGCAGCAATTTGGTCGGGCCGAACAACGCCGGGTCGGGCATCAGCAACGCCGGCGGTCTAGTCGTCAACACGACGAGCGGCGCCACGAATCCCTTGCAGGCGATGGCGTCGGCAGCGGCCTCGCTTACCCAGCTGAACAACATGGCGAACGGCCCGCTGCCGCCGCTAGCGGCCACCGGACCAACTGGACCG